TTTTTCTTTTTCTATTTTCATTTTTTTAAGGGGGAGGGGGTGGTGGTAGGGAGTAGTAAGACGCTGAATAACGACATAACCCTCCCCCCCCTCCCAAAAAAAAGTATCTAAACAGGCAGTCTGGTGGAGTGACATGACAATTTTTTTCCACCGGAGTCTAGTGATTGGATCGTGAAATGAGGTTCGGGAAGGCCACAGGTGTTTTCTGCGGGGGTGAGCAGTTTGCCAGCGATCAGATGTGCTCAGTTTGGCGCAGTCACTACCAGGCGATGAGCAGCCATGTCATGACGTCATGTCTGGCAGACGACAACCCATGTGCACTCGTCCTCTTTGGGGTTACACACACACACACACACACACACACACACACACACACACACACACACACACACACACACACACACACACACACACACACACCACACCCTTCGCTCACAGACGTGGATATGGCAGTCTTTCAGAGTTGAAGCAAACTACACAGTTTGTACGCGACATCGGACTGACTGTCTAGCTGCTGTCATCGAGAACGAGGAAGAAGAAGAAGAAGACACACACACACAAAACAAAAATTGTTTTAATTGAGGCGTTAATAAACATTTAAGCTCTTGAATATCTTTGTTTTGGTTGTTTTCTCTCACAAAAAACAACCTAAATTGTATTAATGGAGGAGTAAAACATTTGTATTTGTATAATCTTTGCTTCCAGAACTCCGCACCGACGACCGCCACATCCACCAGCACCAGCATGTCCTCAGATCGGAGATGGACATGGTCCCAGGGGAGCAGAGACCCTCTAGTCTCATGGACCCTCTCAGGGAGCGACAGCTCAGCTCACACCTGGCCACACAGCTCCAACAGCAGCAACAGCAACAACAGCTTGAACAGCAGCAGCAGCAGCAACAACAGCAGCAGCATCAGCTGGGATCGTCGTCGTCGTCCTCCTCCCTCCTCATGCCGCAGACGACCAGGGCAGAGGTCAGCAGACATCACCACTATATGGACGCTGTTCAGTTCCACGGTTCTCCTGCTGACGTCACCATGATGGACACTCAGCCTCCTGGGGTGCTGACGGAGCTCAATGGCGCTGCGTCTCGAATAGGTTAGTGTGCATTTCGTTGTTGTTTTTTTTAAAACCCTTTCATTGTCATAGTTACTGATGTCGCATGACTGCGTAGTGCATTCTATATATACATGTAGTTCACAACATGTGTAAGGCCTAACAGTGAAGTGGTTAAAGTATTGAATGTTGTGCAAGGCTTCTCTACGTTGGATAATAGTTTCACGCTAAATCTTAAAACATTGTTTTTACCCCTCGTCTTCACTGTCATTTTATTGGAACATTCAACGGAGCAGAAATATTTTTGGGTCTGTGTGTGGTGTGTGTGTGTGTGTTTTGG